ATTCCAAAAAATGTCGACTATAGATTATTCTGAAAAACACAAAAACGTAAGAAAATAAAAGACAAACAAAATCGTACCTTGTCCCCAGGTGGTCCCGGTTTACCTTGTCTTCCGCGAACTCCACGATTTCCCTGGAAATAAAAAAACATATGCTTTCAAATAAATGTAACCATTACAATGATTATTATTAGCCCATATGCTTTGTAATTTTACATACACCGCTCGGTGCCAAAAATATATTTAGTACGCTAGACAGTTTAATTTCATTCTATATATGTCAATCAATATTGTGTGTAGCAGAAACTGCTTCGTTTCTTTACACGCAAATAGATTTGAAATTCATCTACAAACAAAACTGGAACAATATTGTCACATTGGAAGCATTATTTTTATATTTGGTATTTATGTTATAACGAAATACCATACATAAATATGTTATTTCGAGGAAAAGTAGCAATCTTTTCTTAGTTATTATTATGAGTAGAAACGATCTCTTACTTTTTATTGAAATGATTTTTTTATTGATCCTTTTGTAATAATACACATTTTTAAAAACATCAAATAATTTCAAAACAAAAAACATCATTTGAATGTATAATCATACCGTTGCACAACTTTATGTGCATATATATAACTCATCCGGCCGAAAATTTCAATTAATGGTTTAAAGAAACGTATTGAATACTGGAGATGGGAAATACTTAACTTGTATTAAATAACGAAATATATTTTTTATTTCTAATGGGTTGCGGATTGGTGTTTTACCATTGCAGACCTAGTACATTTCCCGGAAGCTGGCACCAAAGAGGCGGATACCAATCGCCGCAGGTAATTTTGATGCCCAGTTTCATCCCTAGAGGGAGGCACCTGAGTTCTGACATTGCGAACCTGTACTAGGATTTAATTTTACCGAGAACACCCAAGCCAAACAGACACTCTAGGGATCTTTTAGATGCTCAAATAACTAAATATCATACTTTTAAATGGATACCTCCTCATAATTCTATATCTTGTCTGCGTTATTTTAAAAGTCGTTTTCATTTGCAAATCAATTCATTGAGCAAAATATTTAAAATTAGTTAAAATCTAAAAAAAAAAAATTTTTTTAATTTATTTTCAGATCGCAAATATATCTCTTTTTGTAATTAAATTTTTCTCTTAAAGATACTTAAACTTTGTAATATTAGCATACTTTTATAAAACAAAATTTTAATTTTAAGTTTTCAATATTTTGCTCCCTTGATAATTCTCTTACTTGATTATACTCTAGATCCGCGATTCTTAAACTGTGATCCGCAAACCCCATGGGGTCACTAGCTTGTTTCTAGGGAGACCGCGAAGGTCTTTCATTCAATGTTGAAATTTCCTTTCTAACTGACTCTGAATGGCTTCAAGGAAAAATTGAAAGATGTGCCATCCTAGACTACATTGCCCCAATGAAAGAACACTACTAGAACATGTATTTCAATCAGGAATATTAATTCAGTTTCTTATTGTTTGCAACTACACGGTCATTACTTCAACGTACTACAAAAAAAAAGTAGAAACACATGTGCAAAGATTAAAAACTAAATTCATAAGGCGCCAATACGATAACAATTGCATTTAAACCACTCAGCCATATGTTGGTAGCCAGAAAGGGGTGTTCAAAGTTATAGGACCCGAGTTGTCAGGCGGGTATATAAAGAAGTTCTGCGACGATCGAAGGTTTAAGAACATTTGCCCTAAATAAATATGGTATGTAAATGATTTACACGTAATTAGAGAATGCAAAATATAAATTTTTTTCGGGAGAACTCCAATATTTAAAAGAATAATTGAAGGAGTTAAAACATTAAGCATATTTATACTATTCCTTAAATGAAAATAACGATCAATAGAAGAAAACCTGTGGATATATAGGAATTCATTAAACTACTATAGGTTCGTGGTATCATGATGAATATTAACTTATTTGAAGCTAGTATATATCACTCCATTACTTTATTACGTGGTAACTTTAAAAAAAAATGATATATCCTTTCACAATTCCACTTCCAAAACAAAAACAAAAAACTATATATACTTCACTATATTAATTTCCATATTTCTTATTTCATAGAATGAAAAAATAAAAAAATAATATCGAGGTTCCACCGAGATTTGAACTCGGATCACTGGATTCAAAGTCCAGCATGCTAACCATTACACCATGGAACCACCTGTCTGGGAGCTTTTTGTTTTATTTACACTTTCTTTACAAAGCAACAGCAGCACATCTAGCGTACTTGAATTAATATATCAACCATGTAAGCTCACAACAGGTGTTTAAACTTCGCAAAATTTTTTAATATTTACTCATTACATCCTTCGATTTTCTCATCTTATAGCAAACAAGGAAAATTGAAAAAAAAATTAGCATAAACTTTATCTGTAGCGTCCAGAGAAAAACTAAACTTAGAACGAAAGTTGAAAACCAAAATGAAGAAGTAAAGGAATAGGAAAACAGTGTTCATTAAATTTAGAGAACTATTTGTTCAAATACCTTTAGAAAATCTTGAAAAGATAAGTAAAATTGTACAAAAAAAACTTATCTCAAGTTCTAAAGGGGGCAGAGAGTGAGCTGAAACAATCTGATGGAATCCAGGTGAAGTCAGGAAGAACTTAGACTACAACCCAAGTAAATTAATTAAGAGAGGGGGACAAAATTATCATAATTATCTAAACAGTTTCAAGGAAAAAGACTTGAAGGAATTTGTCAAGGAATGATATTTGCAAGGGATAGGACAGTTCTTAAATGAGGAATAAATTGTTGAGATAAAAGTGGGTGATATGCTTTGTTTGTCAAAGACTTTGCAGGGATCGTAGATGTGGAATAGATAGGCATTGGCATAACGCACATGCCCACTTTGCGGAAGGGGGTGGGGAGGTCATTCTAAGGGGCCCAAAATCTGACTGACGCCAAGTACGTATTTAACCAATTTATAAAAAATTAAAGGCGAAACCTGACTTTGCAGGGGTCCCTAATATTCTCCGTTACGCCACTGTAGGTAGGGTGCCAATTCACATTTTGACCTTGTCATTTGATTGGATATGGTTAGCAGACTTTTGTATTTTACATAAATAGAAGATTTTATTGCGATAAATTGAAATTGTATAATAGGGTTTAATGCAAAATAATTTTGTCGCGTATTGGCTGCGTGTTCACAGTTAAATATCAGTCCTTAATTTTTGTTTTTAAATATTTATTATCATGATACGTTACGACACACAAACAATTAAATATTCGTTTGAAATTTTCTATTTTGTGGGTAGGCACATCCACCGATTTCGGGGTTCCGCAATCAGCCAAAGTTGTTTACAGATTATTAAATTCACCATCGGTTAGGGAAGGTTCACGCAAATTTCTCTTTAGGGATGACTGTACTGCAAGTCGCCACAGATTTATTTGTTTTGAACAGTATAAATTAAATCATTACACAAAATAATTTTAAAATAAGCGATCGAGTATTCACCTCCTTTGTTCTACAAAGATTCACAGTTATTAAACAGAAAACATCTGCTCGTATATAATGTGTTGGTAAACATAATTTTAAAAATACAAATTTTTTTCGAGTTGCAGAATTGTTAAAACAATGGAGAAACAAAAAGTAGAAACTAGTGTTACTAAAGTTTAGGTGAGTCTTCCTTAATTTTTAATAGCTGATTCAAATAGTTTGTTCATCAAACACTGCTGTGTGTGTGTATATACATTCTAAAGGTAATTATATCAAACTATGATTTTTTTTAAAAATTATGTTCTCGCTTGAGTTTATTATTCGCCAATCCCTCCAAATTTGGACGACATTTACTTTTGTAAATCAAAATATTTTGAATTTCTTTTAAATAAATTTTCTAGATTAGTTAGGAAGCGATTTCAGTTCCATACTTTAAAGATTCGGGTTACTTTTATATAATGTAAAACCTTGCTAAATATTTGAGATTAATTAATTACGGCTACGGTGAAAGAAGTATTAAAAATCAAACGTAATGAAACAATCTTTAAAATTCAGATTTCCTTACAATGTCTTTCCTAATTGGTCAGTGAATATTAATGAGAAATTGAGGCTGATGGAAGGAAAAAAAATGAACCAGGTTCCACCGAGATTTGAACTCGGATCACTGGATTCAAAGTCCAGCATGCTAACCATTACACCATGGAACCACCTGCTTCGAATGCACCGTTTCTTTTAGGTATTCATGGCTAAGAAGCCATTTTCTGATTCATCTGTGATGTTTTGAGTTAATTCTGTCCATGTTAAGATCCATTACAGGTGTTTACATTTTCCCGCAAAGCCTTCACAATTTTTTTTCCAATAAGAACTCGTGTGTAGCTAACAATGTTTACGCATAAAATCAAGTCTGGTGTCGTGTTGTTTCCGTGTAGGAGTGAAACTCAAGATTGCATGAATTAGTTCGGTAAAGAATAAAATCATTCTTCCTTTAAGACAATCTCAGGATTAAAATCTGTATTATAAAGGCAGGTGGTTCCATGGTGTAATGGTTAGCATGCTGGACTTTGAATCCAGTGATCCGAGTTCAAATCTCGGTGGAACCTCGTTAGTTTTTTTTTTTTCTCGTTCGTCTTCTTAATTAGTGTCTTCATGTACGGTTATTTAAAATAAATATAAAAATTTCAGCAGTATACAAATTTAATGCAATTAATCACATTTAGTTCAATGGAATTTAGGCTCATAGTTTAACTAATAAATGATATACAACGGTCTGCGTTTTAACCATTATACCATGTATAACTTTTCACAGATTATACTAAAGAATAAAATGTTTCGATAATTCATACTCGTGCATTTTCTACCTAAGCAGAACATTTTGGAATAAGTGTGCCAAGATATTCTAAATTGGTTGATACAGTTTAATGTTGTGCTTTTTCAGAAATATTAGCATGTCTGAGTAGTAAACATTAAATTAAATTTATTCAAATGCTTAAAGAAATTGAAAAAAAAAAGATAAAAAATTAAACTAGTTTCCTCCGAAATTTGAGCTCGGATCACACTGGATTCAAAGTTCAGAGTGTTAACTATTACACTAAGGAACCACCTGCCTTTATTCAGATTTTCCTTCTGAGATTGTGTGTAAAAGGAAGAGCGATTTTATTCTATACCGAAATAATTCAAAAAATCTTGAGTTTCACTCCTACACGGAAACAACACTACACCAGACGTCATTTTGTACGTAAACACTGCAAGCCAACATACGAGCTTTTATTGAGAAAAAAGACCGCGAAGGCTTTTCGAGAGAATGTAAACACGTAATAGATTTTAGTATGACAAAATTAATTCAAAACATCGTAGCGAGTGAGAAAATGGCTTCTTAGCTATGAATATCTAAGAGAAACGGTGCATTCTCAGCAGGTGGTTCCATGGTGTAATGGTTAGCATGCTGGACTTTGAATCCAGTGATCCGAGTTCAAATCTCGGTGGAACCTAGTTCATTTCTTTTGTCACCTCATTTTTCTTTTCCAAATGTATATGATTTAAAAATAATTATCCATTCAAAAAAAAATTCAAGAATTATGAAATTTTGTAAAGTTTTCCTTCGACTTATTTCTGTATTCTCTAAATATATCCTTTATTGATTTATTTTACAAGCATTTCATATTGACTTTGATAGATAAACCCTTCCGTTCCCTCTCCTGCTAAAATGATGGGGTGAGGGTGCTCATGATGTTTCCGGGCTGTAATGTTCAAAAAGTAACGCACCTAAAGGACCGGGTTCTATAGCAGTGCTAGACTATTTATAACGTTTTTAGAAATAGTTGTTTTGTAGTTGATGCAGAAAAATTGATTTCTACACGTGCTAGATGGAAACAGTTCAAGTATTTTGCATGACATAGATATTTAATGTTTGGATTACCTTATTATTTTTACTTATTATTTGTATATATTGAATTACCGGATTAGAAGTGTTTCGTGCAAAAAAAAGCTAATTTGATTTCATCTTTATTATGCTCCAATATCTTTAATCGAAAAAGGAAAGCAGAAATGATATTTCAGTGCTTGATTTTCAACAAATAAGCGTTTTAAAAAGTCAAAGTTCTGTAAACTGTTTTGTATTTTGTTGAGAATAGTGAAACTTATTCTACAAAATTACATAACAGGATCTTGGAAGATATTTTTGTTGAAAAGTGAATCATGTCAAATATCTTCCGGAACAGAAAAAAAAATACTTTACCAAGCTTTGCATAAATGTAGAAAAGTGCTTCACAAAGAAAATATTTCAAAAATATTTTGTTGTGTAATTCAATTAATACAAAACCATTCCACCTAAGTTAATAATGAGATTTTTGCTGTAGTAGTATTTTTTTTTTTTAAACAGGGCATTTATTATACAGAATATGGAAGACTTTTCGTAAAGATAAAACCACCTGTTTCAAGATCGCGTGAAAAGATCAGTTCAATGCATACGAACACAGTTTAAAAATCATTGCTCATTCATGAGAATCTTGGATAGAAACAAGAAACAGGTGGTTCCATGGTGTAATGGTTAGCATGCTGGACTTTGAATCCAGTGATCCGAGTTCAAATCTCGGTGGAACCTTGTTCATTTCTTTTATTTTCTCAATTTTCTCTTTCCAAATGTTTGTGTCAAAAAATTATTCATTCACAGAAAAAATATCAAGAATTATGAAATTTTGTAAGAAGTTTTCATTCGATTTATTTCTATATTCTTTAAATATATCATTAATTGATTTGTTTTACACAAGCATGTCATGCATACTTTGATAGCTTAACCCTTCTCTTTTCGCTCCTTTCAAAATGACGGGGTGAGGATGTCCATGATATTTCCGTGCAGGAATGCTTAAAAAGTAACGCACCAAAAGGACCAGGTCTAATGACAGAGAGAAGTGCTAGACTATTTATAAAATAATCGGAAATAGTTTATTTGTTTTCAACTAGTTTATCTTAAGGTATCCGAACACGTTCGGAGTACTTTTTAACAAAATAGCATGCTAAAACACTATAAATGCTCTTTTAGGACCCAATATCAATAAATATTACTATTTAACTATCAAAATTTAAAATAAATTACCTAAATTTTACAAAAATCACAATTGTAGCAAAATTTTTGAAAAACTTCAAAGCAGTTAGAGAAAAAAGTAATAAACATATATTAGTAAAAGTATTACTAAAAAAAATTAGATGCATTTATCTAGAAATTGTACTAAAATTTTAATTTTTTATTAAAATTTGAAAATTTTAGAGCTGATTGTGTAAACATTATAAGAAATGTTACATTTTTTATGAAACCATTATTTAAATAACAAGCCATAACTCAAAAAGTAGTCATACAATAAGAAATATTTTAGTACATTCTCTAGAAAATAACATAAATATCAGGTTCAAAATGTTTTATAGAAATACATTCGTATTATTTTGAGTTATCAGACTCGCCATGATAGATTTTGAGCAATTTAAATGCCCACTTCTGGTAGATCAAAAACCCACTTCCGGTTTTTCTAACTTTATGAAATTGATGGTAGCTTAGAAGCAAAACAAAGTATGTTTTGTAAAGACAAAAGATAGCTCTATTCAATAAAGTTAAAAAAAATATCTGTCGACTGAATTTAGTCATTTTCAACGTGTTCGGATACCTTAAGAACTACACTTTTTAATACAATTTTCTTGAATTAAAAAGTAGGTACTTTTTTTTACTGTTTTCTTGAAAATACTGCTATTGTCAAGGGGTTAAAAGCCAAGTCGAGATTTGCCCATAATCAAGTTTAAATTTTAATACCTCGCTCACCCAAGGAAACCGAGCTCTCCTAAAAGACTTAGACAGCAATTAATTGATCTTACAGAAGAAATTTAGATACCTAATTAATAAAGTTAATTGTTGAGCTTTAGGAATTTTTTTTTTGAAATTAGTAATTCAATTTAACTTAAGTAAAATAATCCCTTTTCCAAATTTAAAAAAAAACCTTTAAGAACTTATGTAAAACTGAATTTTCTTAAAATAATTTTAATTTAAAAGTAGAATATATATTTTTGTCTCTTGTTTGCAGCAAACAAATTTTTGAAAGACAATTCTCTTCGAATAAAAGGAAAAATATTAGAATGATTAATGTTATAATGTGTTTGTGAAATGACTAACACAAGATATCGCAAGTCTGCTTTCAGCTTTGCTGAGTGTATGGTAAAAAGATTTTAAGAACAGATATCATGTACGAATTTGTTTATTTGGTACAACTGAGATAGGCTTGAGACAACGATGAGTGAACAGTAAGGATTGCGGTGATTAGAACACCTGCTAGAAGGTTTCGTGTGACAGATCCATTCAATATTAGATTTGAATATTAGTGCGGTCATGAAAAAGAAACAGCAGTCAACTGAGGAGTACAGCAGGTGGTTCCATGGTGTAATGGTTAGCATGCTGGACTTTGAATCCAGTGATCCGAGTTCAAATCTCGGTGGAACCTTTTTCGTTTTTTTTTTCTTTCTCTTTTTCAATTTTATTATGTATTTAATTAAACTCTGTTTAAAATTTGATACAGTCATACACATTTATTTTTGAGAAAACGTAACATTAAATTATATTAACAAATTTAACCAGCTCTTTACACATTTATTTCAAATTTTCAGCTTAATTTGAATGCATGAAAGTGATCATCCAAACATTTTCTTCTGAAGTTAATTGTGTGAAAATGTCAAAAGGTCAATTTTTCAAACATAGCCGAGTAAAGGACTGCGTTTAAAGGTTGTTATTTTGTCCACTCTAAAAAAACACACACAATTTGAAAGTACGCAGGATGGGAGGAAAACGAAAAGAAAGATCTACATAAATTGCTGAAGTTTAGTAGGAAAGTAAACTCTCTCAAACTGTTCGAAATTAACTAAAATACTTAGGAATATTTTAAATTTGTTAGTTTCATTTTTCTTAAAACATTTATTTGATTTCTTGTAGAAAAATCTCAAGAAACACACACACACACACACAAGCATTGTTCTTATTTAACTGTAAGCCTTTCTCTCTCTCTTCTTTGAAATACAATAAACAGGTTATTTGTATTTGAAAGCATGAAATTGAAAGATTTAAAAACTGTGCAGAAAAATTCTGAGAGTCAAATTAACAGAGTACATACTTGCAAAAATTTATTTATTCAGTGATATAGTCAAAACAAAATGGTGGAAGAAAACAGCAGGTGGTTCCATGGTGTAATGGTTAGCATGCTGGACTTTGAATCCAGTGATCCGAGTTCAAATCTCGGTGGAACCTCATCATTTTTTCACCGGATCACTGGATTCAAAGTTCAGCGTGCTGACCATTACATCATGAAACCACCTGCCTTTTTTTGTATGTTTCCACCCAGAGATTTTCATATTAGTTTTAACACTTTAATCCGACTTTTGGTCAAAATACATCATGAGTAAGCGCATATTTTTTTCATTAATAATATAAATTTATGTAAAACTTTTCTAAGATAATAAATAAAAGAAAATGGATTAAGAAGCTGATGCATCATATTTAAGACATGTCACGTTTGGAAAACTTGTTAATGTTATTTAATGGCACAAAATATAGATTATTTTTATACGGAAAGAAATAAAAAGGCATGAATAATACACAAAATGAATCATAGATTAGGGGTTAATTTTGAAAATAATGCATTCACAAAGGTTTCAAAAAACCTATAAGTTCTCTCTGAATTAAATGCAGATATTCCCCTTATATACATTGCCTTCCAAAAGCTAAAAGCGCCCTTCAAGAGGTACGACCTGTTTACTGTGTCTATTTTAAAAATGAATGAACATTGAAACCAGAAATTTGGAGGAAATGTGCCCTAAACAGTTTCTTATTGAGTGGATACATAGACTTACATAAGTTTTACACAAATATACTTTACAACAAAAAAAAGTACTGTTGAAAGAAAAATTCCTTATTGGAGGAAGCAACATATCACATACTTAAGAGGAAAGAAGTTTTGGAAACATTACAAAAATGAGTTTTAATTAGAAATATGCAATGCATTGGTGGCATCGCCATTTCCATGCTATAAATTATCATATACCAAAATGGGAATCGAGGATCAAATATAGG